GGGAGCAAAGGGCTGGCCAAAGCCAAACCGTCACCCCTCCCGGAATGCTCTCACCAGCCGCTTGTTTATTTCTCGCCTGCCACCTGCTCACTCCATTTGAGGGCACCCAGGTTTCCCATGGAGAAAGCCCATGAGCAGTCATTCCTTACTCGCCTCCTCGCTCCTCTCAGGGTTTCACAGCCCTGCACCATTCCTCCTCTGGGCTGGTTAGTTCTCAACAATGGAATTACTCCTCCCAAAGTCTTCCCATAAATTTGATTGCTCCTGTCATCCTCCTTAGGCCTTTTTGCGGTGTCACTCCAGCCAGGCAGTGGGCATCATCTGCAAAGATCCAGGAGGGAGAGCGAGCAAAGACAAACCAAACCGCACACCACACCTGCAGCCATGCCTTCCTATGATCTCCAAGAGCCTAAGGACGCCCAAAAGGGCCCACGACCTGTGGGACGCTGATGTGGAAGCAGCCGTGATAACAGTGGAGGAGCTGTACAGCAACCTAAACACCTCTCCATCTACGCAGCAGCAGATGCCAAGTTAACTCCAGCGGTAGTATCTCCTAGGGCTATCCACACGGTTTTCTGCAGGGAGCCTGCAAGGAGCTCAACAAGGTTTTATTGCATGAGGGCATGACCCAGTCCCAGGGTAGAGACAAAGCTCACCCCCCTTCCCCAGCCTGTGCACCCCGCCAAAGAGAAACCGATGGGTGCCGATTGCTGCCAGCACGCTTTGCTGTTACTCGGCGGCTATCCTGTGCTCCTTGCAGCCAGGGTTCATTGCAAAGTCCAGAACAAGAAGTTATCAAGAGTCAGTTCCAACTTCCACATAAGCCTTTCCCCAAGCAACAAAGACATCCTATAGCAAAGACCCCTGATGCTAGACATGCCCAGGAACAGCAAGATCCAGTTACCGAGTGAAGAGTTCATTATTTAGACCTGGAAACCACACTCCGCAGTCATCTGCGGTCCTGTAATAGCCTTCCAAGAAGGAAAAAATCCATCTCTGACAAAGGACATAATGTTATTCCATTATCTGCCAAATTTGTTCAGGGATTTAAAAAAAAAAAAATCTGAAAGTTTTATTGTCTCCATACTATGGATCATTTGAGAAAGAAGCTATGACTGTTTATGCCAAACTTAATTTTATTTCTTTATTTAACAAACAAAAATATACATTTATTCTATATTTTCTCTTTTTACCCCCCACACATAACACATGTATGCTCAAGGACCATTTTGAATATGGCCCAAAGCACTATATATACATAAAAATACAACAGGAGGAAGGTCAGTTCATGACCTAGCACAGAAGCTCCTCAGCAGCAGAACACGGGGACACTCCAGAAATACCGGAGTCCTGCCAGCAAAGGACAGGATGGACATGCTGACCACCAGCACAGGTGATCCTTCAGCACTGAATTCAGCTGATAAAAAGGCAAATTCGTAACCTGCTCTTCACATCACCAAGGTCAGGGTGTTGAGAGCCAGCAAATATTCCTTGGGATGGAAAAACAGTTGCTCCTTCATTTCTCAACTGCTTTAAGACCTTCATATCTCTTGGCTTTGCCCAAGGCCCACCAACTCCAGGGAAACTTTGCAGGTTTCCCCTTGCTTTCTAACAGCAGCTCAGGATCAGTCTTGCAAGCAGCACCAGGAGCAGCAGCAGGGCAATTCAGGCACCATGTCATCCATCGCTTTCAGAGTAAGCAAACAAGTGCGGCTCAGGCTGATTCACAGCAAGTGACAGGAGGAGCACGAACACTTCTCTCCTGTGGCAAGGACTGACTTGGCCAGTTGCTTGTCCCACCGTTACACTGCCATTGCATGGAGAGGAAATGTGAAAGGCTACTGACCTACACGAGACAATTCAGCTCTCGCACATAGACAAATGGAAGCCTATTTTCCTCAAAAGTAAATTTAAAAAAAAAAAAAAAAGGCAGGTTGGTTTGTTTTCAAGGTGTCAGTGCTACTTAGAGGCCTGCAGGGCAAAGTCCACAGGCAGAACAGAGGGGGGTGCATTGCTCATTAACAAAAAAAATAAGCAAAGGGCCTGCATAGTTTTGGCAACCAATATGAACTTTGTGTTCTTACCCAAACATTCCTTCCCTACAGTGGGAACACCCGGTAGCAAATCCTTTCCCCTACCTGCTCGTGATCCAAACTAATGCTTCCACCCTGCATGACGATTTCCCAGAAATTTTCACCTCAATATTCTTCAAGAACAGCAGTGAGTTGGGGCAAGAGATTCACAGTCCCCAACCATTTCAAATTCCCTCTTTCTACCACCTTGAATGGAAAGTTGCTATTGCTTATAGCAGATCTCCACCTACCTGGAGGCTTCAGGTAGGAGAGGACCCCCAAAGCTAGAGGAATACACCTCATCATCCTTGGAGAACACAGTACGTCCCAGAAACCAGCCTGATGCAGCTTGTAGCTGAACAGTCCCTGGACTGGAACACGATGTTTTGAAACTGCGTGCCAGACAGCTCAGACAACAGCAGTCCCTTTTCCACCATGGAAGATGTTAAGAAGAAGTTCCAGATAGTCCTTAAATGAACCATGCTCCACATGCACATAAGTATTTTCAACGTATCGAGCCATAAAACCTATTTAGACCAGCAGAAGCCTGGGGGTCTGAACTGCAACATACGAGAAGGCCACTGCCAGAGAAACACCTCCACGTCCTACTTATCTCCAACTTAGAGCACCAGCCAGCTTGATTCTAGCAGACCTATGGTGTTTGAGAGTTTCCAGTCACTAAACAGTGACAGCTCGGACTCATCATGGGCTTCTGCTCTGCCTCAAGCACCTGAACATCTCTGGAGCCTTCATCTGCAGAGTCAGCTTCCTCCTTCACAGCACTCTCCAAGACCCTGCCACAGCCATGAAGCAGGGTGCAGATGGAAAATGCACCTACTTCAAAGATTTATTCTTGAAACTCAGCCCTGACTCAGTGTTGTTGCTTAGATTTTCCTCTGAGCTCACACGCACAGTAGTACAGCCTCCATAGACTGTTCCACAGCTCCTTCAGCTCAGCTAGACAGCAGCACTGTCTGTCCTTCTGTCTCCCTAGTGCTCAGCCTGTTCACATCCATGCTGCTAGCCCCCCAGAATGCTCCCAAGGCACAAAGAAGAGTTTATTCCTCTTCATACCTCTCTTCTCCTTCCCACACACTCACAACACTTCTTTCAACTCCCAGCAACTGCAATTAATGATTTTCATCAGTATTAGCTGAAATCAGAGATAAGCCCAGCTTCCCTCTTCAGACACTGCTACCACCACCTATGCTGTTGCACTACGACAAGACCCAGGCAACCAGGCTGCTTGAAAAAGCTCAGGAAGAACATCTTTGGTTTCAACCACCAAATTCTCTCTATATATGTACAATACAGCAGTCAAATCAACACCCTCATCCCTAAACGCCATTCCCGTAATTGGCAGACAAGTGCTTTCAGTCACTGAAAAGGAAGAGGTGCCAGTCAGGCCTGTCTTCTGGGTCATATTCACACCTGGAACACGAAGGATCAGGAAGGTTTGGCGTTTATAGGTTTATGACCAAACTGTTCTACGTAGTTCTCAGGTAGCGACAGCAAATGTTCTTTCCAACAGGATTTGGGCTGCCAACTTAGTCTCACAATAGGTTTTGGAAATCCTAAGGAAGAGAGGAAAGCCACGGCAGGTAGCCAAGGACAGATTTCCAATGGACATCCTAACAGCTGTGGTATCAGGGAGTTTGGAAGGAAACAAATGAGGCATCGTGTGAAGCGGGTAGCCCTGCCTCAGGCATTGATGGCTTTCCAGCGGTCACTGTCTATGCTGTTGATGCTGCCCACGTGGTACGGCATCGAGGCCACGTCATCCAGGTAGGCTGTGGTGTCGATCTGAGTGCTGGAGTAGAACCCAGAATCCATTCCTTCCTTCTTGGCGACAGCGTAAGGGTGGGGTAGGTGCACATCCACATCCTCTGGTTCATCCACCTGACATTTGTAGGAGAAAAGGATCTTCGGTTCAGACCTGGAATGATTAAAGATTTAAAATACATGCTTAAGCAATGTAGTATCACAGCCACTTGTCCACTCAGCAGCACTAAGAAATTGTGTATTCAGACCCTAAAAACGCTTCACACTAGCTTCCAGGCCTGAACTTCACCTAGCAGAGTAATTTCCATAAAGTAATGCGAAATGGAGCTTTGGACTAAGTCACCTGAGAGAAATAAAAATGGCAGAATCCTGACTCTAGTGTGGTAAAGGTGTTCTCATCTTTGGGAGTTCTGAGTTACTGAGGGCAGCAGCATCTGAACCCCACTGGACTCCACAGCAGCCTGGTTAGTGACACCAGCAGAACAGGGGTCCAACTCAAGTTTCATCTGTACACATCAGGAAAAGCAAAATACAAACACTTGTGAATCAGCAGTTTCCATCTCTAACTCCAGAAACTGTTCCCTTCTAATCTCAGAAAGCAGCAGAGGCACATTTTGGTATTTTAGGAGTACTTTATGTTCTTAGTCATTTTAAAGCCTGCTGTTTATCGCTTGTGGACAATAAAAGCTAAAGCTTATACTAAACCACTCGGTTTTTCCTACCACGATGCATCTCCTCCGAGTGGCCACACGGTGGCAACCCCGACCCAGGAATCACCCTCTCGAGAGCTTTGAACGGGTGACTCCTGGGCCCATTGTAGAGGACCCCTCAGCCCAAGAGTCACCTAACCCCTTTCTCTAAGCCTACACCAAAACCCACCCAGGAGAGCATTTAACCTTCTGGGACTCAATCTCTCACTAAACATTTAGTTAACAACTTTAGTGGAAAAACTCTGCACTAAACAGGAGGCCAGCGCTGAAGAACTGATCCTCATAAATGTTTGAGAGGAATACAGCTATCAGCTCTACTTTGCATACAAAGGAGTCTTGGATAGAAGAAAGAAGCCCTGGGTCACACAAGAAGAACTTTATGGCCAGAAATCACAAACTGTTTCCCTAACTGGCATTCTAGTCACTGCCTTTATTCTACAGATGGGGAGAACTTCAGTGCAAAACAATTAAACGACAATATAAACCCTCTAAACTCCTGTTCCTGGCTACTCACCCGAAGAAGCCTTTCAGGAAAGAGGTGCAAAGAAGCTGAAGTAAAGGAACGTCGTAGCATCAACACAGCTGTCAATGGCAAAAAGGAACATGAAGGAATTTAGCACTCAAGCACAATACAGCTGGATAACACCACTCACATCCCCCCACACGATCCAATTTCCTTCCAAAGCATCCAGAGGACAAGAAAAGCCTTGGGCTAAACAAATTCAAACTGATGCAAAGGAACAGATATTGCCACTACCACATGTCACTGTTCCTGGACACTTAGAGGGAATCATGCCAAGAGCCAAGGTCTGACCAAGAGCACAGTGCTCCCAATTTTGACCAATGACACTGGTCCCTGTGAATGAGACTCCAGATGTGAATAAGGGTATCTCCATGCTATTTCTAGCAAACAGACTATTTCCTCCCTTATTACCTATGAAAAACAAACCAATGGCCAGGCATCAGTGGATCCAAACTACTCCTCTCACTCACCACTTCAAGACCACTGCAGAGCATGCAGCTACACAGACCTCTCCACTCTGTTTCCCGACCACTTAGATGTCTTCTGGCACAAACCAGAACCAACAGCTTTATTCCTCCTTAGGAACACAACACAAGTGTGTGTTCTTGGGAGAGGCAGTGCTGAAGGACACTCAAACGCAACACGAGAAACTGGGCTGCAGACCTCCTCCCCAGCATACATACCACAGTCCTTCTATGATATCCACACAGAGGAGGGCACTGCCCAGGCCCTGCACCAGGTTCAGCCAGGGCAGGAAGCAGGGCCAGGATTCCAGCATAAACATCAAAACTCTTCCTGGCTGTGGGAAAGACATGGACACAGATGAAGCTCAATCTCATAAGCACCAGCCCAGTGCCAATCTGTTGGATGGAGATGGCAAACCCCACAGAAGCATATCACCATCTTCTCTATTTAAGAATTCCTGAAGAATTAAGACTGCATTTCCCTGTCCCATGCTGGCAGGATTGATGGAGGTACAGCAGGCTAACCCACACCCTCCTGCATATGTATACATACACACAAGGTAGGTTTTGAAGACACATGGTCATGGCAACACATGCAAAGTTTTATAGGCAAGCACCTGGAACCAATATCAGTCACATAATTGAAAGTAAGTAAACAGAAAACCCGCAGCTGAACCAGAAGCCGTGCCCTTCCAATGCACAGCATTAACAAAACTGCTCCAGAGACCTGGCCAGGAGCAGCAGTGGATGCTGGACACCAGGCAGATCAGGCCCAGGACCACCTGCTTGTGGCATGTGCCACACACATCCGCTCCCTCAGGGTACCCCACACATAAACGCCAACACTACTCAGAGAGAGAACAGCTCAACGCAAACATCGTAGTAACTGCTTCTCTCCTTACTCAAGAACTGCAGATGTTCTGCAACAAAAAAGAAAAACCAGAGAAACATCTTAATAAATGTCCAGATAAAAATTAGTAAGCAGCTCTCCATTAGCCTTTCTTTCCCAGGGGATGACCGTGATGTACCCTTTAACACCATACATGCATTTCAAAGGAAGCTGTTATTAAGAAGCCATTTCTTACGGCTCTCTGAAGATTATATATTTACATTACATCAGTATCATTAACTGGGCAGTAGATCTTGTTTCCTTAATGTAATTGTTTTGCTATTGAAGTAGCAATGTAATGGCTCTTACTCTGCTCTCCAGAAGGCAAACCATGCTATTTGTCCAGTGATAACTTATCAGTCCTTTGCCACGTATCTGTACCCTGAGACAGTGGGATGTATCTGCAGCACAACCACACACAGGAACCAGATGCTCCCATCTCTGTTTTATCCTGGTGCTGTCATCAACTACACTATGGAACACACTGCAGTCACTTACAGGGCAAAGAAATGCGGTCTTTCAGAGGAGTTTTTGGAAGAATCACCACCAAGGAATAGACCTGTTGAGACAAAGAACTAACTGTTCCACGGCTGCTTGGCAACTGAACTCAACAATCTTTGCAGGGATGGTGTGTGGCGTCACGCATTCCCTGGATGTCTCAGAACAGAGGCACAGATCCCCTGATATTAAACCCAGTGCAGATGCGAAGGTCCCACACCTCACCCCATCAGCATACAAAGGCTGGTCACTGAGAGAGCAAAGAACATCTGAGATCAGCTGGAATTCAGCTACCACAGCTTACACCATTCCCACCACACCTTCTATTGCTCCCTGCCACACAAGATGCATCAATGCTGCACTGCATCAGGCAGGAGGGGGACTACGCCTTATTATACACAAATCCTCCTCCCTGGCCCATTTAGAAAACATAAGCTATCAGAGCACATAACACATTCCCAGTACTTACCAGAAAGAAGAAACAGGAGCTGGCAAGCCAGAAGTGTCTCCCTCCGTGGCCATAGATGTTGAAGTCTTCTGCTGAGAGGTGGGCATCAGGGTACAGGATTTCCAAGGTGCCCTAGGAGAGAAGTGGCACCAACATGGTTCCATTATAGGCAGCATCCTCACTGAAGGGGGTGTCTGGACAAAGGAGAATGTGTTTAAAGAAGTCCAGACAACAGCGGTCCCTGCCACCTAAGACCCAACCATTACTCTGCTTAGACCAAGTTAAGCTCACACAGGAGAGGAGGAAGAAACCAAAGACAAGAAGTGAGGGGGGAAAAGGTGGCAGGAATCTGCATCTGAAGGAACCAGCATCAATGACATTCCAGAAGAGAGACTGAAGGGACAGGGGATGCAAGCAGTTGTCAGTCTGAAATACACCGAGAGTTCCATTCCCATCTCTAAAGCAGACCGTTCCGGCTGAAACATCCAGAATACGAAAGCTTCCACTTGTGCAAGAGTTGGGAAAGGACACTGTCTCATTCACTTGAATCCCTGAAAAATAGTATGAACAGAAGCTACCATACAGACAGCAGAGAGAAAAAAGCGCTTGTAAGCACCACTGAACCCAGATACACTTGATATTTAATGAGGCTCCTCCAGCATGATGTGGTAATGATCAGCTCACTGCCTCTGCAAGCAAGAGCCTGGCCACGGAACAAAGATCTGTGTGTTATTCTGGTGCCGCCCCAAGTACAGAGACACAGGGCTGACCACTTACGTACTGAGGAGAATAAATCCAGACACATACCACACTGTTCAGAGATGGAGACACAGCTAATGAACTGAGCTAGCAAGCCAGCTGCTAGAATGAAGGGAAACAGGAGCTCTCAGCTCTACAAGGAGCTAAGAGGTGCGGTGCACTGCCCTTATCTGGCAAGCACACCTCAGGTCTCTCCATCGAGTTTTGATGGCACTGGAGGCTAGAGTCAAAACTTGTGGCTCAGGTCTGGAAAAACTCTCACTCCTGTTCCAAGGTTCACTAAACAAGGCAATCCACCTAAACCTCATCTCATGTAAAGACTTTGACTGAGCCAGTCCTGCCATGGAGAGGACAGGGACATACAGTCTGGTGTCTGCTCTGGGGATCCTCGGACACTGCCACAAGCATCCAGTCTTCCCCCAGAACCTCATCCCAACAGCAAAGCTGTCACTTTCCAGACAGAAGTCCCACACCTAACTGCCTAACTCTAAGAAAAGTCCCCTCTTCTGCAAAGCCTCATGATTCTGCTCTGATGTACTCACCTGGGTGACAGAATACGCCAGAGACAGCACTGTAGTGATTGCCAGAACACGTTTCACACTCGACTTGCTCTCCAGGTGACCTGGAATTAAGGAACAGAAAAGTGACTCAGGATCCAATCCTAGAACTGGTAAAAATAATTTCTCTCCAAAACCAACACAGGAAAACATTTGTATTTCCAGAGGCCTTCAAGGGAAGGTTAGAGCTCACTCAGACACTAGAAACTGCTTCTCTGTTAGGAGAGGTGAGCCTTTCACAGACAAAATACTTACAAAATAACAGGTTTTAACTTGCTTTCCTCCTGCTCACAATAATATACAGAAAGCAACTAAGTCCTTCTGCTGAGGTTACAAAAAAAAAAAAAAAAGAGTCAGGAATTACTCCAGAATCATGTACACTGAAATACTGTGAAGTTTCTTCTCAAGAAGAGAATTTGATGGAAGACTGGGTTAGAGCAGGAGAGAAGCACTTCCATAATTTAGAGAAATCTGCACTGGAATATGCTGGAGCAGACAGTCTCCAGAAGCTCCTTCCAACCTAAATTATTCTATGAGACCTCAAAAGATGAAAAAACTAGAGAACTAGTGCTCAGATGTCCCACTGGCAGATGCAACAGTGACACCTACCAACTCCCCTTTCCTCTACCTCTGACCACAGATCTGTAAATATAATCAGGCCTTCAGCCATTTCGAATGAAAACTGCCCAATTTGTCCTTTGTCTTTATCCTAGAGCTCCTTCACTTTATAGAATCAGCATCTCGACAAACTTACAGATGTAGCCTTTGTGGAAAGAAAGGGAATAGCAGACATTCAAAGCACTCCAAAACCTCCTGACACGTACCAAAGGCAAGGCCTAGAATCACCACACTCAGCTCAATTGCCAGAAGGAAGAACCTTGTGATCTCCCACAGGATCTGAGGGATAACAGAAACCAGACAAACATGATTAGACAGAGACAGGAATCAGCCAGAAGTTAATAAAACAAAACTCCACTCTCTGCTCCAGGGGATGACAGCCTTGCAGGTCATTTCCACAAACCTTCCTCATGCTTTGTAGGAATGCTAATTATATGCTTGTTCCAAGCCTTATCCACACCTGTGGAACAGAACAGTTGCATGGGAGCGAGCAAATAGCATGCCTACAGAGAGAGGAAGTGGCCACGGTTTGCCACACTTGAGGAACTGTCACGTGCCTGGGATGTGTTCTTTCTGCTGTACTCCCGAAGAGCACAAACCCAAGAGGACCCAAAAAGTATAATATTAAACAGGGGCAGTTCTTAAAGGGGTGGATTCTGCAGTACAGTTATGACTGAACACACTCAGTATTCTGCACTCCTCCAAAGCTACTGGCCCCTAAATCTAAAGCATGTTCAACTCGAAAGCCACACTTCCACCTTGTCATTTTCATTCCCATGTTTTATTTGGTGAAACAAGACCAAAAAACCAGCAGGTGAGGCAAACTTCCAGATAGTCATGCAATAAATCAGTGCCAAAGTTAGAACAAGAACCCAGATTCTAGCTTATTAATCCTCTTCCTCTGAACACTGAGTGGCACTCTCTTTTGAAGATACACAAGATTTTAAGAGGCATTTGATGAGACACTGCTAATCTCAGAAAATACACTCTGTGTACATGAGAGAAAATAAAATAAATGTAATAGACATGATAGAACATGTGTTTACAGGAAAAATTGACAGAGTATGTGTCTTACTGCATGGCTTCCCAGCAAGGAGCACTCAGCAGCAACACCAACAGAGCTGAACAAAGGCACCTTCTCACCTCTTCTCCATTATTCAAGGCCTGGACCTACATCTATTCAACAGAGGTGAGTGAAAATGCTACAAACATCCAGCCACTCACACCAAGCAATGCATTGCAACGCTTTGACAGGTGACATTAAAGGGAAAAGCAAAAGAACCACACTGATCCCAGAGAACAGAGCCAGAAGAGCTGTACTCTGTGGGTGACTCTTCTTCTTCTACCAGCTCAAAAACTACAGAGCTTTTTGTTTTAAGTCATATTCTGCTAAAAGTCAAATGACTAAAAAGGAACCACACGTACAAAGCTATTTCCTGTTTGCTAAGGGTTCACCCTGCGCTCAGAGCGACTGTGAGGACGTTCCGGTATCAGTCTCAAAAGGGAATCTGGTTTTATTTACTTTCAATACAAAAGAATTAAATATTTTTTAAAAAGCTACTCAAATATTGTAAGAATAATAAAGACCAGGTCTTGCTTGTCCACTAAAGGTATCCAAACGTTTAGCTCTGGCAAAACAGAGTCATTCCATCCCTGCAACAGGAAAGTTTTGCTGCCACTATTTGTGCATCTATTTTAGGAAGTCCATTGTTTTACAACCCTGGATGTTGTGATCATTTAGATACAACTATCAGAACAGGATTCCATAGTACACATAGCTCGGAGTACTGCAAAAAAACACATTCTTCTCGTAGGTACACAAAAGGGAACCTGTGACCAGAACTGCACAAAGCAGAGCCTCTAAAACAAGTGTTGTACCTACCTTGTCAGCAACTGTGGCAGCATCAGAGGCACTCACAGTCATGGAGACAACAGCACGGGCAATACCAACCAAAGCCACCACAAATACCTACACAAAAAGATACCACAAGTGAAGTCATGTCAAAAGGCATGTATGCAGCCGTGACCTGAAACCCTTTTAGAATACTGTTTCCAGGGCAGCTTTCAAGGCTGATAATGTGCACTAAGGCTTTCCTGTAGCAGATTAATTTCCCGAAGAAGATTCCTCAGGCCTGTTAGCTGTAGGAGTACTGGCTCAGAATTTAGGAAGAAACAGATTTCCCCAACCATTAGACTAAACAGCTCTGAAGAGGTCTCATCCACTTCGTATACCAGTGTCTTCACAGGCAAATGGTCTTCTCAACCTTCAGTCCCCTGGGGCAGGAGAGGAAGAAACCCAACAAAAAACATATCCCTCCAGGTCACAGGATCAAGTGTTTGGTATGACTGAATAAACCAATCCCATCGGATAACAGAAGCCACTTGATACCAACCACCACACTCCAGAACTGTGATACAACTAAAATCTGCAGTTCTTTCACTCAACACTGACAACACTCAGGAATGCAGAGGCAAAAGAATCAGCTGCAGCCAACAGCTTTAAAACATCTTACCCTGCTGCACAGCACAACGTAGAGATACCCAAGTCAGCTCATGTACCATTTAAGCATGACAGCATGGAGCTCAGCAAGGCTAATTTAGGATCTCTGTGCTGTCACAGCCACACGGTGCAATTAAGAGCTCAGTTGGATATATCTACCCTCCGCTGTGCAGACTTACCCTCTAAGAAAGCAGATTTTTCCAGATAAAATTCTCCGAGTCACAGGTCAATTCTAACGATGCAGGTATGAGACAGATAAATCTATCAGAGAACAAAAACAGTCCAAGCTGATTCCAAGGTGACTGGAGAAAGGAAATGACTAATAAGCCACCTACAGCCAAATATCTTCCTCCTTAGAGGAAGAAGAGATGCAAATGGCATGAAAGGAAGAATAATACAAACACTCCCTCCTGGGGTGGAAAACTCAGGGACAAAACACTGACAAAAAACAAGGGTCACTGAACAGAATGGTGTTCTAGAGCAGCAGCAACTCACTGGAGAGGAAAACACACCCTTTTTGCTTCCTCTCTAAGTAGGTAGGGACTCTTCCCAATCTAATCACTGACTCTGCAAGATAGCATTCCTTCAAGACATGACAAACAGCCGTTTGAAAGGAAACCCTCACAGAACACACTTCCATCCTCATTTCGCAATAACATACTTCAGAAGATAAAACTGAATGAAAGTTTTTTCCTCTAAGGTTGTTTCATCACTTTTTGCTTCTCACTGTTTCAAAAAAGTCAACAGCATAAAGTCAGTTCACTTTTTTTCTTCCCTTTGGTTTATCAGGAGTTTTGCTCAAACACACATTTACTTCTACAACCTGTACTCATCTCACTGAGGAAGAGCAAGCACACTCTGCTACACACCCAGGCAAGCCAGGATGGCAAAAGCACCTGCGATAAAGCTTCTGAATGATATTTTTAACCAAATTCAGGTAGGTCTTTAGTTGCATTTACCACACCCTGTGAGCACTATCACAGCTAATAGGTATAACGTTCAGAGATTACTAAACAGACTACCTCAATGTCATCAAAAGTTGCCTGTGCCTTTTTAAACTGCAAAGAGGAGAACAGACAAGATCTTAGAAGTTTGAGAACTGTAACTGTACTGCCTATATATTCTGTTTCCACCTTAAGAAGTATCAAGAACATCATCAAGTCAGCAGCCACTTCGATATGATGGGAAAGAAACCAACAGTGCTGGGTTTCTGCATTCCCAGACTAACCAGAATCCTGTCACTTCACCATTTTCCACAGCAGATGACCAAGCTTTTCAATAGCTTCACACAAATTATTCTCTAGTGTTTCACTTTCACTGCCTCAGTAAGAAGCCGGTTTTGTGTCACATGCTACTTACTGCAAGGAGCAAGGAAAGTGTAAGAAACTAGATTCCAAGACAGCAAAGCAACACAAGAAGAGAAAAAGAAAAGAAAAGAAAAAAATCACCACAGGAGAACAGAAATCCACTTAAATCCAGCAGATATGGTCCCAGCATCTGCAAAAAGCATAATTCAGACAGTGAAAAAAAAATAAATCTGTGTCTGCTTCTTGTAGTACACCTTCAACTAAAACCAGGTTTTATCCCTGTGAGATCTGGTCTAGGCTCTCTCTCCATTAGTTCAGTGACATTGTCCATGAGCGGTAAATCAAAAAAATAAAAAACCTCATCATTTCAAATGCACAGAGCGGTACTCACCAGTATGTAGAATGTAGTGAAGATTGGGCTGGAAGTGACCCGGATTTTGGCCCTGGCAGAGGGCAGCTTCCAGAGAAGAAACATAAAGAAAAGCACATTGGGAACCAGGAGCAGAAGATCCCAGTAGCGGACTCTGCAAAAAGTAAATAAAAGTTTTTTCCTGTTCTTCAGCATCTAGAAGGCAGGGCACCAGCCCCAGCCCCTTCGCAACCAAACTCTGAGAAAACAAGCTCCTTCCTCCAGCCCAGGGTCAGACCATGGTCCCATCTCCCTCATCTCACCTGGACTTCCCGATGTCCTCATAGAGCAACAGCAGGCACTTGTGTGGCACAGTGATGTTGGTGTCATTGATTGCCTGCATCGTCGTCAGGGACCAAGCTGTCACATTATCCACCGTGGTCACCAGGGCAGTCGAATGTGTGATGTTGTCAGCCACGGAGAATCTCGTCACAGACATCATGGACTGGAACACCCTGCTCTCCTTCTGGTCCAAGTCAAACACAGCACGAGACAACCACAGCAGAGACAAAAAGCAACATTAAATCAGTTGTGAGTCAGAGCTAAAACACACATCCCTGCCATTAGGCCCCTGCACAACTGCTTCCTGCTTGTTACAGCAAATTATCGTCATCAGAAAGACTCTACTACTCAGTGAAATGCCACCTGCCTTTCCTCTGCACACGTCATTAGGGTGGACAGTACAAGAACACTATCTCGTATCAGAGTAACAAGCACCTTTCAAAACAGTGTGATGCCATGTTGATTTACATTTTGTGATTTTTTTTGAGCCTTGGCAGATTCATAGAAGAAATCAAGACTCAGCAGCAATACATGGCATCATCAGAGACAGAAACTCCGCTGTACCAGAACATTAATTACCATTCTAGCTCCCCAGATCAAGACGCTACAGTCAGTGATTTGATTTCAGCTATTGGAAAGAAAAAAAAGGCCCCTGGGTAAAACCTGTTGCTGTTACCAACCCTGCAGTCTTGGGAGCAGGGAGAGCCTCACATACGTTTCCCTAAAGGGACTGTACAGACTCTACCTTCCAAAACCAACACTGAAAAAGCCAAGATTCAGCACTTTTCTTCCAACCCTCTTCAGGACATCAGAACTATTCTGACTTTAAGCACAACCGCAAGGCTGTGAAAAGACAGCACCTTTCTAAAACCCGGTGAGCATAACGCCCTCCTACTGCTTCACACCCAGTCTCGATCGCACTGCCCTTCTCAGCCACGGATCAACATCCTCACTGGTAGTTTACAAACACAGAATGAGATGTGGTCCTATCCCATGGGTTTCCTAAGGTCAAACTCTCGGGCAGCAGAGAGCTGTGGTCAGAATCAGAAGAATCATGGCATCCAGTTCTTTTGCCTGCCCTACCTTACACCTCTCCTGCCTCTCAGATAGATGACAAGATATTAAGTTTCCCTCCAGAAGCTAAACGAAAACTCTGCTCTGCCATCCATAAAACTCCATGTGCTTCACGCCCATGCCAGCAGCTTTGGCAGAAACAGCAGCAGCAGCTTATCCCTCTATGGGTTCGACGATCACCTCAGAAGCTTAAGGGGACTACAGCACACAGTACTTCAGGATTTAGTATATACTAGAGTTTTACCTGATCTACCTTACGAAGCGTGCTTCTGATTCGATGGTGTCACCTTGTGCAAATCCTCTCCTCCTCCCACTCCACAACAGCAACCCTCACCGTTAAGGCACTGGACTAGCTACGAGCTTAATACAAACACAAGTTCCTGTCATCTCTCCTGCCACTCAGCAAAGAAGTGCTCACACATGACACATAGATTCAGAAGAAAAAAAAAGTCTCTATTAACTGGCATCTTAAAGATGCACATTGCCAGAGACAGCACTCTAGCAGTCTGTGTGCTATAGTCAATCCAGTATTCATCTCAAAAAAAATCTCCCTGTTTGACTTTAGCCCTGGCTGGCACGGCAAAAACTGACAGCCTCAATGTCAGGGCTCAGAAGGTATTTTTTCCTGCTAGGTTCTGGGTAACTCAAGTCAGACAGAATGAGCACAGCCCTGGGTCATCTGTTGAGCTTTTAGAGTTCAGCGGCACCTTTCCCACAAACTGCTCCAGACTGTCAGCCACAGACTCTTCTTTCTCTTCAGAGGCTGAGACTCTTCCCGGGTCTCCTGAGGGGCAAGGGGATCATCCCACCCTCAGCTAACAAACCTTCCCGCTGATTCATCCATGCTGGCAGATACTCGCTGAGCTGGGGTTTTTCTTTCACAACTGCCATATGCTGTGCTGCGCAAGAGACATCACATTAAATAAACACACACGGACCTGGAAAGATGAACTTTGTGCTGAGATGGCAAAATCTGTCCTAAAAAGTCCTAGGTCTAGTAGAGGTTACAGCAAATAACTTTCATATTCCTGATTTCTCTCTCTTCCCTCCAGCTTCTCACTTCTCTGAATTGACACTGTTGAGAATTATTTTCTGTTAATTTTTTTCCATTCTCTTCCTCTGAAACACCTTTGCACCTCAGCAGCAGGAAGGACAAGTATGTTCACATTTGCCAACACAGAAAAAATTCTACCTCATTTTTAAAAAAGCTGAGAGAAAGGGTAGAGAAAAACCTCACAGAGCATGGGCAGAATAACATCAACTGCAAACCATCCCAACCTCCTAGTATTTCTTCTGGGACAAAGAATTCAATCTGCCCATCACACTGAAAAGAGCTCGAGTAAGAAGCTGCAAGAGAATTACATGGGAAAAACACCTTCTCTATAAAAAGAACAAACAGGCTCCATTCTTTTTCCCCAGCAGCCACCACTATCATGTAACAGCAGCAAGCGGCAGATAAGGGGAGGATCTGGCCCCACGTAACAGAGCTCCAGTCACGAAGTTTCAAAGGGTAAAGCGGAATGAAGCTTACCCCTCAGCCAGGCTGCTCGCCACAGCCTGATGTTAGTATCCTATTATTCCTCCCAAGATGGAATATACGCACAGCAGAGCACCAGAACGTCCAACACAATAAGAAAGGGCAGCCAAAGCCATCAGCCAGGCAGCACAAGCCGCAAGATTTTCTAATAGCTAATAGCAAGGATGCAGAGAACTATCCCGTTCCTGTCAAAATCCAGCAAAAATTCTGCAGCAACAGGACCAGGAACTGATGGCAAGGATCCAGCTGGGCTTTGTCATCCCCAGCAACGCTGCTCCTTACAGCACACTGCCCAAACCCTTGCTCCGTCCAGTCCAAAATAACTCCAGTCAGCTGAGCATATCCAAGAGATCACTCACCACACCCTGCCCCGACGGGGCTGTCCGGCCAACCCAGCCCATGCAATGGGGGTAAAGTCACCCCCACAGCCACACAAAAGGACAACAGCGCCGCAGTCCTGGTCTCCCTTCTTCTGACCGGCAGCTCTATTCGCCATACACCAGAAAACAAAATAAAACGGAGGGGACGTTGTTTCCTGATTCATGACATAACCGTATCAGAGATCAGTGAAATTCAGGGCTCAAATCGCGGGGAACTCTCTGTATTTCACAGCCCAACCACGTCAAGGTGAGTTACACACTACCAGAGTTTCAGCTCTAATAAAAAAATGAAAGCTTGCCTTCCTTCTTTCTGAAAACAGTATCAGAAAATCTTGAGAGTATAGATCATACTAGGGTTAAGACTGCTCCTTAAAACACTGTATGTGTGCAAGAGAAAACTGCACTGACCAGATTCCTGCTTAAATACGACTGTTACTTCAATAACTTAAATACTTAAAAAGAAAAAAGGGGGGGAAAAGCCTTTTTTTTTCCTCCTCAAGACGGCTCTTCAAATCTCACTCTTGGTCACAACAGCTGTACTTTGCATTTTACCCTTAGAACAAACTCACAGGTCTGGGATTTTCCAGCAGTGACTGAAGACTGCTTTCTCTCTTTTCTCCACATTCCATTCTCACACCTCGTTCTGGACTAACCTTAAAAGAAAGGAACTGCAATGCTAAAAACAACTGAAGAAAAACACCAAGCGCAGAAGTATCAACAATAATCCAAAACCATCAGACAGAGAAGCCCAGTTCAGGTCAATGTTTCAGAAATAAGTATCACAAGTTTTGTTTCGGTTTTTTTTTTTTTTTTAATTGTGTTTCGGTTTCGTTTCTCCTTCCTCCAGGCGGTGGGCACACAGACAACAAGAAGGCGGCAAGTGCAGTGAAGTGACAGCACCTGGGCACCTCACTCGCCCCTGGCAAGGAACCGCTGCCTGTCCTAAAGGCTGCCAAAGGAACCAGGACTGGAGAAAATCTTCAATCGCTTCCCCCGCGGCGCTGCTGCC